GGGAAAGAGGTAATTTCAGCTGTTTTTAGAGTTTGGATTACTGAGGAGATTAAAAGAAAAAAAAATATGAATTAGTGTTTATAGAGAAAAAATAGAATTTACAACTTTATTAATTTCTGTAGAGCCAGCCCGTCACATGGTCTCAGCTTTAATATATTTCCTTTCATCTAACTTTAACGATTTATCTAGCTAACATTTGGGGGGTAAAACAAGGATGTTTAAATAGTTTGGAGTAAAGTGAAACTCTTTAGAAACTCGGAGGACGAATGTAAGTGGGTGCAATGTCTGGAGGGTAAAAGTGAGAATAACTCAAACATTTACCTTTAAACTAAAAAACAAAAAAAAAAGAGGAGAAAAATACAAACAAAAAGAGATTGATGTTCCTGCCTTTGTAAGCATCCTTGAATTTGTTTGCATATAAAGTTCATAACTTTTTAAAAAGTTGTGCTAATATATTACCTTTTTATCGGTCAATATTCAATATGATCCCACTAAATATCATATACATTATACAGAAATCAATGGTAAGAGATTTATTTTCATCCCTTGTCCTAGTGTATGGCTCATCCATGTAATATCCCTTTGCACACTACGATTTTACCCTCCCTACCCCACCGGATTAGCACTCCTAATTTTAATAATAAATATGAATTATAATTTTACCCTTAATTCTATTAATAATTTCTGAATAGAAAAGTAAAAAATTAAAAATACTCTACTTTACTTTCACACCTCTCATATTTTCTTGTTCACTTCTTCTAACATTTTCTTCTCCTCAAAACACAACATTGCATCTACAGCAACTAAGAGCATCCCTATTCTCTTCAAGGTGAGTCAATAACATAAATCACCGTGGTTATTTTTTTTTTATTGAATCGCAAGTTTTATTTTTTATTTTTATTTTTTTTGTGTTTATTTGTTGAATTTGTGATCAAACTATGTTTTGCCCCTTGATTGCACATCATCATTTCAAAAATTCGTGGAGATCTAGACCATTACAATTTCTAATTACTAATTAAAAAAAAACTGTAGGTGTGATTAAAAAAATCTAATTACTAATTAGTTATCATAATATTAAGATAGCATAATATACAATTATTTTTTTTAAAGTTCACTACATAAAATTCTACTAAAACGGTAGGTAAGTAAATTTATAATCGTTTATTCTAATTTTGGGTATAAGTAAACGCATGAATGAGATTGAGACTAATTCTGACTCTAATTCTTGAAACTTAAATAAACAATTTATTCTGACTCTGATTTCTAACTCTAATTCTTATTCACTTCGAATTCTATTCATTTTAATTTATATCCACTCTGATTATAAATAAATAAACATGATATGCGTATAATACTCAACCCATTATAGACACCCCCTAATGGGAAATCACCTTTCAATATCGTTGGATCTATGAATAAAAGGCAACCTTTTTCTTTTCCTTAAACAATGAAAGGCAAACACTTGCATAAAAGGGCTTTGCCTTAAAAAGACAAAAAACAAAAAATATAAAATATAAAGTGCCACGCGTCCTAATCCAAAAGACCACTAAGGAAGGCTCGCCACGTTTCCACCTTAAATAATAAAAATCAATATTCTATCCACTAACAACCTAATAATAAGCACTCGCAGAAAATGTAATTACAATTTAAAAATAAAAAAAAAAATTCCCCCTCTATATAAAGCCCCCCCTAAAAACCCTAACATTTCTTTAAGACCACCACCGTATATATAGAGAGAGAGAGGAAAAAAGTTCCTCCTCTTCGCTTCGCCTTAGGCTGCTGTAGAAGTTCCGATTCTTCTCCAGAAGAATTCCAGCTTCCGCAGCAGCTATACATATACACACACATATATATATATATAGTTTACTATATCTACGTTCCTTCTCAGCCGTTTGATAACCAGAACTAATCGTTTTATATAAATCAATCAATCAAATGGCTGCTATCACTCTCTCAAAGTCCAAGCTTTTCGCTCTCTCCTTCTCCATCGCCCGGTTGGTGTTTCATCCGCACTAGATCAAATCCTCTTCTTTTATTTTATTTATTAGTTTAATTTTTTATTTAATTTTTATTAAAAATACTGAATCTGGAACAGGAGGGGCTACGCGGCGGTCGCAGCGGCGGGATTCGGTAGGGGAGGGTCCATGAGAGGTATGGTGGGGAAAGTGGAGGAGACGCGTCCGATTAATGGATCAGGCTCCGAGGGCTCTAACGCGTGGGCCCCAGATCCACTTACGGGCTACTACAGGCCTGGTAATCACGCTGATGAGATCGATCCAGTGGAGCTCCGACAAACGCTCTTGAACAACAAAGTCAGGCCACTCTAAGCTTTTATTATATACCTTATGATTATATCTATCTATGTATCATCAAGTTTGATGTACTTCTGGATTATTAAATATTATCTAAAGTTTGGTTTTGATGAATGATGTATCGCTCTCAAGAGTTGCTCTCTATTATTATTATCAATGGTAGCTTTAGAGAGAGGAAAGTTGTCGTTTTAACTATTATGTTTGGGATAATTAATTAACAATAATAATATTATTTTCTAGAGATGAATTGGTCTCTTCACTTTTTTATTATTAGTATTATTATTATTCCTTTGATGACATGAACCTTATTATCGCCAGCCTTAGGAGAGCCGACATCCTTATTGTCGTTTTAGTAAACGACAACGACATAGATGCCGTTGGTTTAATCCAGAACACTCTGAGGTCTCCGTTCTTGTTGCTCTTTGTACCCCGTCATGATATTAACATAGATGTCGGAATTCCATTAGCCAAAAAAACCAAATAGGAGGATACTAATAACTAATGGATGTTTCTTTTTCCCCCCCCAAAAAAAAAAGGGTAATTTCAAATGGAAGCCCGAGAAAACTCCCTAAATTTTAGCATTTCTAACGGAATTCTTTAAATTTTAGTTAAAATGACAAAAAAATTATTTTAACTAATTTTTAGTGAGTCACTCTAATCATATTTCTTATTTTATCTAAATATAGATTATTTTATTTATTAAATTTAAAATATAAATAATTTTATATTTAATTAGTGTGAAAGATATTTTTTAAAACAAACTATTTAACTAAGACTAATGATTGGAGCGGAGAAAAATTTAAAAAAAATTTAAATCATTAGTCATTTTAACTAAACACTACATGTAAGCATGGTGTGAGTTGGTCTAATATTCTCGTTTCTCCTAACGACAGTAAATCAATATTTATGTCATATTTGGTAAACGTCATTAAACTTTGTAAACGACACACCTGCTAATTATTAAACGACACTAAAGATGTAGTCGTTTGAGAAGAACTTACTTGGATGTTGGATGTCGCTAGCTTCGAGTTCAGGAACTCCTTTGTAGTTGTCAATATTTACAAGACCAATGTATGCTTGACGGATTCAGATTGATCCATTTACGCGCCTTTGATTTTAAAAAAAAAAAAAAAATCACTCAATTTAAAGGGCAAAAAGATTCGTCAAACTACAAACACAAGAAAGCTAAGAACATCACGACTTGTTTTACGAATCGTGGGTTCTTACTAGTTCCTTCGTTTGTTTTACTTATTTAGCTCAATTTAACGTTTTACTTATTTAGCTCAATTTAACCCAGTTTAAACAGTAATAAAAGTTTAAACTCGTGTTTAATAAGTGTTGGTTGCCGAATCGTTTCCGGCTGCGAAAGCGTGGTGGTGCGGGGAAAAAGCAGATCGTGTATAACAAAAATTTTCATAAAACTTTTGAGATACTCTATAGATTATATTAATTTATGCACGAATAAATTAATCTCATTAACTTATATATATTAAGAACTCAATCAAGAAAAATACCTGGAAGCCGACTCCGATGATAACTTGAGTTCTTTGACCACGAACAGTCATTGCTCCAATCTTTGTGTTTAGAAAACCAATGTCTTCCACATCAATTCCTAGAATCCACGAAGACGTGTGTGTGGGCATACATGAGACAAAACGGGTTACAATAAACACTCGAATTTCCACAAACACCAACGCATGCACGATGTGGAATTTTTGGAGAAAAAAATTTTTCCTTCCTCTCTCTCTTGAGAATTTCGGCCAGCCTTAACTCTTAGGGCTGAAAAATTGTTTCCAAAATTTCTATAGAGAAATTTCGGCTACCTCTAAAATTAGGGCAAAAAACCATTCCAAAAATTGTCTCAAAAATAGTATTTATAGAGTAGAAGTCAAACTTCTAGAAGGAATCCAATCTCTATCTCTAAGATAAAGCTTGTTAATTATCTCCTATTTGAATTTTAAACCAAATCTCCTCTTTTCCTCTATCCTATATGGCCGGCCATTCTAAGGGGATTCTCACCCCTGTGTGGCACCAATATTAGATAGGGAAGAAAGAGAAAATCATCATTTATCCTGTAGTCCAATTTTGACTCAAATTCAAATTCCAATTTAAGTCAAACTTAAATTAATTTGAATTCTAAATTGAACAACTTATCAAATAAGTTTAAATGGATAAATCTAGATGTGTTCAAATTCAAATTTAAAAAATCACATTATTTAAATAATAATTAATTCTCAATTAATTATTTTCGAGTATTTAATTTATAGAATTCCTTAATTCTAAAATTTCCCATTTTACCCTCTGTGTCTGGTAGAATTACTAGGATAAATTACTTCTAAACTGTGAAGTGTCTATTTGATATAGTCATTGCATATAGATCGATCCTCCATAAATAATTCATAATTAGAGCAAGGTAAAATCCGTTAACCTCTCTAATTACTTCTTTATTCTTGAGTACCATTGATTCTCTAATGGACAGTGATTCATAAAACACATTCATGAATCGGAGCTCCTACTGGTCCAAGTACCGAATCAACCCTCAAGAGAGTTATTTATCTACTTCTTTCTTAAGAAGGAATGAATTCCATCTCGTGTAATAACATTCCCGGCTGCCTACTTCATCATGTCTCCAAAATACAAGGAATAGGATTCAGGATCTCAGAATCTATACCGAGTAAATCAAAAGACACAAATCCATAAATAGGAGTTTGTTAAGAACTCAGGATTAAGATCATTCTATATATGACCATCGGTAGACTCAATTAGAATTTCTATACTTAACGGAAATTATTAGAAATTCATATTGTGTCTGTGTCCTTGTTCCACATAATCTCATTATGCGAAATACACTCATTCAATATCTCACTATATCAACAGTGCGGATAACACCGTTCCATTCTAAATGTGAATGACATGTATTAATAATGTTTTAATTAAAGATTCCAAACTTTAATTAAATTCATTATGAACATTACTTTTTGATTATTATCCTTAAACATTATCCTCTCGTATATAACACTTATATACAATGTTTAAGGTTACATAAATAATCATGGAATTTTCATTGATATTCATAAAATATTCATAAATATATGCACATAAAATAATGAATAAACTCTTTTATTAAATAAATAATAAATATCCTATTACATCTCATGCTTCTAGGACACCATTCCCAACAATAAGCGCATAATGTGAATTATATTTCTCGTTTGAATTGAGTTAAATTATCTAATTTAAAGTTTAACTTCCCTTTAAATTTAACCGTTCAAATTATTTTTAAACAGTAAAAAGGTGCCCACTTTTTCTGCTTTTTACACCTATCAAACACAACTTCAAATTTTATTCTCTGTTCAGATTAAAATTTTAACAATACTTCTAAACACCAATTCAAACTACAATTTAAACAACACAATTTAGATTTTTCTGTTTAAATTAAAAAGTTCAATCACTAAAATTCGAACAAGCGAACCAAACGGGGACTATAAGCTTTAAAGGGGAAGAGTCTAATGCAAATTTATGTGCATAGACACATGAGAGCACTCCGTTTTACCGTATGAGAATGAAACCTCACCATTCACATAAAATAAATCATACCATGAAGTGATGGGGGATTTATCTCAAGAGGATGAATCTTTTTTGGGATATTTACATTTGTATACCCTATATTTTAGGTTTATTCAAACTCTGTACCTTTGGTTTTTTAGCTAATCAAATGCATAACTTCAAATTTGATTTAATATACAAATCTATCCCTTAATCTCGGTCAATAATTAATTTTGACCACTAAAATGACTAAATTATCCTTAAAAAAAGAGAGAAAAATAAAACTAAAACTTTCCAACATTACAAAAAATAAAATTTTAAACACAAAAAATAAAATTTTAAACACAAAAAAAAACCCCATTCAATGGTATTTTGAATATTTTTAAGGTTAAAACCGTAAGTTTAAAGTTGTTTTTTTAGTTTTTTTTTTCTTTTCCCATTTTTATTTGGGCATGTCTACGATAGGGGGACTTGCTTGTCCCTACCGGTAGGTGCAAATCAAAAGGCTCAAATTAAATCTCAGCTAGGATTTTCATAGTCTCATTCCATCACTGCCACCCCCGACGCCCACCCCTGTCACAATCAGCCACCGAGGCTCCCAACATTTAATGCTCAGTTATGTCCCGCCCAGATACCCACGATCTCAGCTCCTACGAGTGGGTTCCTTGACGAAATCAGTGAGATCGTAGGTGATTCCACTCTTGAGGAGGTCCGATGGTGACCTCCGTCGGATTGGCCACCACGACTGTGTTGTCGTCCCTGCGCCGCCAGATTGGGCAAGCGACGAAGGCCAAATCACCAGAAGACGAGATTATCTTGAAGTCGGTTAGGGCAATCGGCGAAGCCCTTTTCTGATGGAAAAGCTATATGATTGTGGTGAAGATGAACAACTCCAATGAATAAGGGTTTTCACTATTTCCTAAATCATTTTGTATTTTCTTTTCAAATGGGAAGACTTCAAGCACATTCACGAGTATATGTTTTATTTTATTTTTTATCTATTGTTTCCGCTTAGGTTGGAGAAAGATTGCTTGATCTGTTTGTAATTTGTATGGATTTATCTTGTTTTTCTGATAACGAGAGAGAATTTGTACACATCAAAACGTGTCTTGGAAATTCATATGCCCGAATCCATTCAGTAAAATATAATGCAAAACTTATAGATGTGAGAGTAGTATTTGAATAATCAACACGTAGTCATTTCTTTATTTTGCTTTCTTTGTGTGTATGTTTCAAATCCTGACTACTGTTGGTTTTGTGTTGAGGATGAACCATTTCTTTGCTCGGTTTTCTTTTGTCTGAGAAATACCTACCAGATTCCTCAAAAGTAGTGACAGAAGCGATTGATTGTCTTCCGGTGGAGGAGAAGGAGAGTTGCCAGTGGTGGTAAACGAATCGGCCAGCTTTCGGGGTTCACTGTTAGATTTGGGTAGGATTTTTAGTTCATTTTTTCCACTGATAAAAGGTGTAATCTATTTTATAATTGTTTGATACATCATTTTAAGCTAAACCACTCAAAAACGATCTGATGGTTGATGATTCTCACCCTACATGTGAGGCCTCGGACCTACCGGACTTTCTTGACGTCGATTACTTCAAAACTCCTCACTTAATTAGTTACAATGAAAAATGCACTTCTCATATGCATACACTAATTGTTGTTATTCTATGATGGATATGATATATTGGATGCATTT